GAAGGAGGGGAATGATAAGACAGACAATGCTAGGAGGAGAAGGAGAGAAAAGAAGAACAGACGTTATTGGGAATAGTATGTGGAGCGGAATTTGGAAGTCATGGGGTGAGGCAGATATTATGCTGATAATCAGAGATGGTCATGTGCCCACGACCAGTCGTTGGTCTTCAAATAGCGGTTGGCTGCAACTTTGAAGTGTTGCAAGTTCTTGGTGCAGAAAGGACCAGAGAAGACTCCGGCGGGCAGCTGGTTCCAGACGGGGACAACTACGTGAGGGTAGGCTCGACACAGGTTGTTTCGGGAACGGACTGGAAGTTCATTGGCCAGTTGGTGTGCGTGAGCATTACATCTCTGGAATGTACTACGGGTGGAGTGGACTGTTCGGTGTTGGGGCTGCTGGGGTGGCAGCATCCTCTGTAGAAGGGGATGCGCATCCGGACAATGCATCTTGTACAGGAGGCAAAGTGCTGCAACCATCCGACGAAGAGCAAGACTCGGCAGCCAACACATTGGGGCGATGGCACGGATGGCCCGGGCTTGCACACGGTCGAGTCTTGCAAGATGGGATGGGGCCGCTCCCATCCAGACAATAGGGCAGTACTCCATCACTGGGCGCACAAAAGCATTGTAGGCTTGGATGCGACCGGGCACGTCTAGGAGGTGGAAAGCCTTACGCAAAGCACCAAGTCGCTGTGTTGCCCGGAGGGCTACGGTACGAAGGTGGCGCCGGAAGGTAAGCTGACCATCGAAACTGATGCCCAAGATTTTGAGCTCCTCCTGTTCCGTCACATTGGATCCGTTGAAGTCAATCGGTGGCATGTCCCATTGGGTGCGGTGGAAACTGACAGTCAGTGCCTGGGATTTGGCAGGTTCAAATTTTATTTTCCATTCTTGACCCCAGCGGGAGATGTTGTTGACTGCTAGCTGGAGGGCTTGGGTGGTATCTTCTTGGGTGGTGGGGGTGATGTTGGCATACAGCGTAGTGTCGTCTGCGAACGAGGCTAGGTCAGCACCGGCTGGTACGTGGTCCTCGCAGTCGTTCACGTACATGAGGAAGAGAGTCGGACCCAGTGTGGTGTGTAACAGAAAGACGAAGCACTCAGGGAGAGTAACACATGACACGGTGTGCACTGCCACACTCTAGTTGTAAGTTTGGGGCTGTCTATGTGGCTTGTAGTCATGATCACGGACTAGCCCTGTGAACGCCAGGTACAGAGTAGACCTTCAATACAATAGTGGGTAGTGAGTGGGCATAAATCGGCATTAAAGTCCACTATATTTCGAAAGTATGTGCGAGAAGTGGTGGCGGGGCCAGGCTGCTCTGCCGACCTTAAAGGTCTCGGCGTCTACGCAGACAAAGCACGCCATAATGCAGTAAAACCATGAGGAGGGGAGGACATGCCCAAGGTTTACCTTAACAGGTAGTCCATGATGCAAATCCCACATTGCTTCTTCTTTCAACCCACCCATATGCCACGAATCCATGGCGTACATCGATGAGAACGTGAGGTGACCATCTCTACGGTGCACTACCGATAGTCCCTTCAACAGTGGACTCACATAGTGACAAACTTAAGCAGGACTGTTGCATGTCATTCATGGTCATTATGTGGATGGTGAACTTAGGTCGAAATATTTAAGGGGGGGGGGGGCACGTGCCCCCCCCCCCCCCCCCCCCCCCCCCCCCCGTGCCCTATGCGGGCAATGCGCCTGATGCCCTATGTACCAGTGGACTTACATAACTTGCCGGTTCGTCTCTGTTACAGATAGTAACAAGAATAACAGTAAGTATGTACATGGTGTACGTTAGAGCACGTGAAACAAAATACTCGTGTTAGAAGTCTTGGGCACCCTGTAAGAAAACCTTGGGTCTGTCGGGAATGCCCAAGTGGAATAATAAAATACAATACAATACAAAAAAGTTACCACCTTTTCAAGACAAGCGTTGAAATCAGTGGCAGACCTCCTGTCTCATGGGAATACGTAGTAACCCTGCTTATGACCATGGGAGTATACAGTCAACTTCGCTAATAACGACTGCGGATATAACGACAATTCGCGAATAACGACAGAGTGTCCATGCCCAGAGCAAATTCCCATGTAACTGTAATACATATAATGAGACTTCGGGTATCGACACTTCGCGAATAAAGACACTTTTCTGATGCCCCGCTGCCGAGTGTCGTTATAAGCGAAGTTGACTGTACAATACAATATAATATAATAATGCTCATCCGCAGATGATGGCAGGTCCTGAAAGGACCGACAGCGTTTCAGTCACGGGGAACAGAACTTCGAGTGGCGAGTGAGGTCTTGGCGACGGCGAAAATCTCGGCCTCAGTGGCACCTGAAAATCTCGAGACACAGGTTTAGGTGGCTGCATGGTGTTGCAGGCCAGTCTCCACTCACGATGGTCCTCGGCTAGGATGGATTATAGGGGATTCACACACACACACACACACACACACACACACACACACACACACACACACACACACACACACACACACACACACACACACACACACACACACACACACACACACACACACACACACACACACACACACACACACACACACACACACACACACACACACACACACACACACACACACACACACACACACACACACACACACACACACACACACACACACACACACACACACACACACACACACACACACACACACACACACACACACACACACACACACACACACACACACACACACACACACACACACACACACACACACACACACACACACACACACACACACACACACACACACACACACACACACACACACACACACACACACACACACACACACACACACACACACACACACACACACACACACACACACACACACACACACACACACACACACACACACACACACACACACACACACACACACACACACACACACACACACACACACACACACACACACACACACACACACACACACACACACACACACACACACACACACACACACACACACACACACACACACACACACACACACACACACACACACACACACACACACACACACACACACACACACACACACACACACACACACACACACACACACACACACACACACACACACACACACACACACACACACACACACACACACACACACACACACACACACACACACACACACACACACACACACACACACACACACACACACACACACACACACACACACACACACACACACACACACACACACACACACACACACACACACACACACACACACACACACACACACACACACACACACACACACACACACACACACACACACACACACACACACACACACACACACACACACACACACACACACACACACACACACACACACACACACACACACACACACACACACACACACACACACACACGGGAAACACTACGGTTATGGGAATGTTGTTATGGAAACCATGGTACTGGGGGAAAGGAGGACCCTCTTGGGAAAAAATTGGCAAAGCCGTGGCCGTGGGCTTCAGGACGTTTGTTAAGGGAAAAATCCCATGGCTATTTGTTTTCAAATCCCCTGTCAAAAAATCATGGCCAAACATGCGGCCAAGGGAAAACTGACCATGGGTTAACCGGATGTCTGAACTTTTACCTTGTCGCCTTGGGATTCACACTCACGGGGACACCTGAGGTCACGGGACCTCATGGTTATACCCAGGGTTATGACCAAGGGGTCATTTTAAATGTGAATCACACACACACACACACACACACACATTCCGCTGGAAAGATTCCATGGTATCGTTGTGCAGCGACTTTGACAACGCTTTTCAGCTGATAGTGCGATCGCATGGCCTGTATAATCAGCATTGAGTAATCTACGATGTCGGATTTTATTGGGCTAAACTCAACACACAGGACACACTAGCAAGACATGCATTAAAACAGGGTTAGCATTTTACAGTTCACGCTAACTTCGACCGTCGGCCTTTACCGGTTTTGTGTGCTTTCAATACATGGTTATCATTTTAATTTTTTTACACAACGATCGGCTTGTGACGTCCCCCTAGTTGGAATCTTACCGTTTCGTTCTCCCGGTAAACAGAGCCTTCTGTCGTCGAAGCGGCACCAAACCGACTGTATTTTGGGTGCTGGGTACAAGTATCGTTGGATTCAGCATGAGCAGCAAAACTCTAACCATGTCTATTCTTTAACTAACCCCCACTTTAATCCCAGACTGTGAACATAGTCAACCAGTTTCGGTATGCCGTTCGGGAATTTCTCCGCATTGATCTGCATGAATCCTGTAGCGTTGCGCTGGGCATGTCCGGTGTCAGCCCCTGCCCACCAACCACCATCAATGTTGATGTACTCATAGCCGACATCCTGGACACATCGGCAAACACACACTCATGTTATTTCAAGAGTACATAACCCTCAAGAGTGTGCAACTCGACTATGGGTGCTGTTCCGACAGAATTTCAAGTTGACGTCATTTTTATAATGCAATGCGCACTGTACACGGATTATCAGACGAATCCGGAACCTGTGGTGGACCAAAGCCCTTCTGATCCTGTACAAATTATTGCAAAGAAAAATGTGTGATACGATGACACCCTTACAATTGTTGTATATCACTGGTGCAAGGAGCATTGCATCATTAATACTGACGTCAACTTGCAATTCTGTGGGGACAGCAGGGTACGTGGGAGTTGCCAACTCTTGGGGGGGGGGGGGTATGTACTCTTAGTTATAGAGAGTCAGTTCATGAGCGGCCTTGTCAACCAACCACCGTTAAATGTTGATATATTCACAGCCAGCACCCTGGAGTCATCAGCAAAAAAATACTAAGAGGAATCAGCTCATGAAGGGCCCTGGCGAGTCACACTAGAGAATAGGCAGATTCTACTCGACATTTTATAAAGTAGTGATATTAACGGAACCATCAACACTCATGGTTGGAAATTCCTCGAATTCTGCTTGTCTTCTTTATGCACACACCAACCATTCATGGCACAATGGTTGGCAACGGCAACGATTTCGATAGTTCGGATCTTCCCAAGTTGTGCATTGTACTGTTGAGATGCTGAATTCAAATAAATCAATACAATAAAGAAAAAATTTAAAAAATAATAAAAAATCGACAGGTTCGCATACCGGGCAGGACAAGAACAAGGAGTCGTACAACTCCCTGGTCAAGAACCGCCTTTCCGCTTCCGTGGAAACAATACATAAAATACAATAGTTGGCTCAGTCGGTGGGCACATGTGACCTAGTATAGGGTACGTATGTCACGGTGTCCTACCTTCATGCCATTACTGGCCATAGCCTTGGCGTTTGCGTAGAACACTGATTCATTGTACTTGCGATGGTAGTGGTTCCAACTGCTCCAGCCCACTGCAAACAAGTAGTACAATACAGCAAGCAAAACCAACAGCAGCACAAAGGAGCAAATGAGAAAATTAATAAAAATATAACGCTACAGCACAGTCGTGCGATGTGTCCTGCAGCAGCGGGAGGTGTATGTGTGTGTGTGTGTGTGTGTGTTTGTTTGTGTGTGTGTGTGTGTGTGTGTGTGTGTGTGTGTGTGTGTGTTTGCCGTCAATCCTTTTTCTGCACCTTGTCCTCACACACTTACTGAGGTGTGGTGAGCCCATAAGTGGGATCATTTTCAAGTCCACCCAGAGTTTTGGGGATTTCAGAGGGCGTTGGCCTTTGGGCAGTTCAATGGCCAATTGAGTCGTCTTTCCAAGATTCCTTTTGAATCTCTCTCCCCTCTTCGGGGGAGACTCGCTTGACCAGTTATGGTACTGAACAAGTACAAGTGAGTAAGTACAAGTGTGTGTGTGTGTGTGTGTCTGTGTGTGCGTGTGTGTGTGCGTGTGTGTGTGTGTGTGCGTGTGTGTGTGTGTGTGTGTGTGTGCGTGTGCGTGTGTGTGTGTATGTGCGTGTGTGTGTGTGCGTGTGTGTGTGTGCGTGTGTGTGTGTGCGTGTGTGTGTGTGTGTGTGTGTGTGTGTGGGTGTGTGTGTATGTGTGTGTATGTGTACACGGCCCGTGTTCCGTCTGTGTTACTACACTTTGCTGAGTCATGGGCTCCGCTTCGTCACGACTTGGATCTGGTGGGTAACTTTTCACCACCGGTGCATTCGCTCCATCATATGTGTATCTCGGTGTCAGCGATGGGAGGAGAAGATCTCATCGGTAACGCTCCGTGCGCACTTGGGTGACACTACACCGATATAAGACCTTGTTCGGCGTCGGCGGTTGGAATGGCTCGGGCACGTCGCGCGCATGCCTGCAGACCGTGCTCCCGTCCAGATTTTGTTTGGAAGGTTGAGTGGTCGTCGCCCTCCTTGTGGCCCCCGGCGGCACTGGAAAGATGTTGTCCAGAGAGACATGAAGGCGAGCTGGTGTGGATTTCTGGTTTCAGAATGCACAAGATCGGCAGAACTGGAGGATGTTCCTTGCTGAGCCACCACCGCATGCAGATGATCCGCCACCTTTGCACTGCTTGCTGTGTGGTGCTGTGTGGCTGCTTGCTGTGTGGTTTTTAAGTCTTGGATATCATTTGAGCTTACCAGCGAAACCGTTGTTGACTTAGATAAAAGTAAAAAAATATCCTGCGTATTCCCGAAGGGAACTCACGACGACCGCTAACACCGGGTAAAACCTACTTGAGTCAAGTACTGGTAGCGCCTAACAGTGGGGGTGAGTGAATAAGTCCCACAACCACAAATGCCCAGAAAGACCCCATTAGTCGCATCCATGTACGCATTGTGCAGGCCACAAGTTCCCAGTTGACTGTGGGTAGCAGCACGTCTGGAAAAACCGCTCCCAGGCAGGGCTTGAACCAGGTACCTCTCGTATGTCAATCATGGTCTTTCACCAACCCACTGTGCTTGCCTGGTGACTGGAGTAGTGGTTGACTTAGATCCTATCGGCAACTCTCCATTCACTACTAAGGCCCTCTTCAGACTAGGTACAAAACAGCCTATATGTCACATTTACATAGAAGTTTCCAAGACAACAACAAGAATCTGGCGGGAAGCCTACAAGGCTGCCCAATCCTTTCAGGGAGGATGCGAACCCTTGTACAAGGCAACTTTCCTGTATTTATCGTACTTTCACCAGGCAGTCGTACAAGCGTACAAACTTTGTAAACGGGTACGACTGCCGGCTGCTTTCACACATCCCAAGCCCCATGCGCAGTTGCGTAGGGTCAAAGGTTGCCTGTATAGTGCATTTAGAATGTGTAGTCTGAATGCAGGCTTGGAAAAATGTTGCCTTTTAGGTTTTATGTGATTTTGTACTGGATGTTCTATGTACGTAGTCTGTAGAGGGCCTAAGTACTAACTGCTTATTCTCAAAGGCACGCATCCAGGAACAAGGCCATCCTAGTTGCCACTTGGATTCAGGATGCGATGGCGTGGGTTTAGTTTGAACGCCAAGCTCAACATTTCGGTTATTGCTAACAAGCACGATCTCATTCAAACACGCCACACGCCACAGACGCACAATCGCAAGCTTTACTTACTTGGCGGCGACAAGGCCAGCCCGTTGTTCAGAGCCAGAGAGGAATGGCAAGCGAGCGACAACACCAGCAAAGCTGCAACAGACAGCTCCATTATCAGGCCAGATAGCGGTAGCGTGGATTGGCAGAGAAGGAAATAATAATTCGTATGCTCGTCTTCTTTTCCGAACTGAAATGACTCCCTGCGCTTTTGCATGACCACGGACTGGTAGTGACTAGTGGTAGATCTACCGCAGTGTCTGGCTGACTAGCTGGCGCTCCGGGGCCGGGGCTGTACTAGTATGACTATGAGTCACTATGAGTATGATCCTGGAGAGCGCTAACGACGTTACGTCATGATCAGACGGCTGAGTCTTGTAAAATCACTCTCTTAGTATTGACTCCCATTGATTTTCGCTATACCTAAGCAGTCAAATATTCCTGCATATTTCACTCCTTAGGGCTATAATATTGACTGCTTATAATATAAGCAGTCAATAAGCAGTCAAATATTATTTGACTGCTTAGGCCAGTTAGGGGTTGCGCACAATGCGCAGTTGAACGGTGCCTAGTGCAGCATGGTCACTGTATGAGTAGGTGGTGGTGCAACGGTTGTGCAACCAAAAAACCGGAATTCATGAGGTAATCGTTCTGGAATTTGAAATACCGACTGTTTGTCGTGATAAATCTAATATTGACTTCGTACTTGGTCAATAGGAAATAAAAGCCTCGTAAAAGACCTCGGCTTCTATTTCCTATTGACCAAGTACTCAGTCAATATTAGATACAATCATGTACGTAATGCCGGTAGTTGTAGTGTAGTTCTACGACACGACGACGGTCGCGACCGGTTTCATGACTGGGATGACTTGCATTACAGTGCTGGCAACTGAAATCCGACCCCCAGAGCGGTGCGCTCACATCACAAAGACCCAACACGGTACGGGATGGTAAAACAGAGACCGCTAGAATGTGAAGCCACCGCTCAGGGGTCGGATTTCAGATGCCAGCACTGTAGTTGGACGTACTGTAGCGCTAACCCACTGCGTGACGACTGTCGGATTGCATTTGCAGGTGATTGGATCAAGTCAAGATACATGTACATGTATTTCCATTGACCCACGTTTCCATAATCTTTTCAGTAATATGAACGGATTACATGAAATAAAGAAGATTGATGTATGGTTTATACATGTAGGCGAATTCAACATTAAACATAAATAATTATTACTAGGCCATGTTTAACGCGGATGGTGAGCCAATTGAATGATGGTGAAAAAAGGAGAACAACATGTAACGAGTTATGACTAACTGTCCACCAACGTAACCAGATCTTATACAGTCAGCGAGTGCGACAAATTGACACAAAACTGACAAGGAGCACTGAGACATTCGGCGACCTGACACCTAGCTCCAACACTTCTCCAAGGCTCAAACCAACAACCTTCCAACTTGGAAGCCTCAGGTTCGGAAAGGTCCAAGAGGGGAAGGAAAGCGCAACGAAGAAGAGCACGAGCTACGCATCACGGCAACAAAGAATGCCGAAAGTTACTGGATGATGACGAAACTAGTAAGATTATTGAACAGACCGGCCTAAGCGGCAGCCTTACTACATTGTACAGACGCAATGCAACAGACCACCCAACTTTGGAGGCCAAAGTTTATGTAATAAACATAGAAGGGGAAGCTAAGCGAAGGCGAATTGTGACAAACCGAAACGCGAACATCCTACTGAACTCCACTGTATCATGTTTGATGGACTAGCTGTGTACAATACTGTAAAAGACATTATTCTAACGAGGCGCATATATTATAACGATTTCCCAAAATGGACTAGTTTACGTGTACCAAAGGTAACGATTCTCACTCATTCTCAACGCTCAATAGGACAGTATTACGTATATAAATGCCTTCATCAGTGCTAGCTTCAGAATATTAATGTTTCTGGTATTAGTTTTAGCCCAAATTTTGTTCACTTTATGGTACCTTATACCCTTTTCCTTGGTGGTTCAACACTCAGTGTGATGATGATTTCGGAGGAAAATCAAACGCAAACTTTTAAATCTTTTAAAATATTGTTTCATTGTTCTCTTGGTGTGAGTGCACTCACTTTACTTTCATCGATACTGCTTCTTGGCTCTTGGCTCTCCATCCGAGTCAATATTGCTTCCTTTATCCATTTTTTCCGGCCACAATGATTACTAATTTACATGTAGATGTAAGTATTTGCTATTTGTGGATATGCATGGGTAAGGTATAACAACAATGATTATGGGGCACGTAACGAGAAAGAACGAAAGTGTTTGTTCAGAACTGTTCTCTTATTCCGCCGTGATGATCATCAGTGAATCTAATAAAATAAAATAAAATAATAATATTCGCAATCTATGTAACAATTTTGGGCCCAACTTGAAAATCATATAAATAGACAAATAAAAGTGAAATGAGGGGGAAAAATGGAGCGAAACCAAAATGGGTGACTATACTACATACTGGCTAAACCAGTAACACAATGAGATCGAGTGGAGTAATGAAATCGATACTTCCCCGTGTTAATACTAGGCACCGGCGGATTATGCCGGCATAATTATTGGCATAATTTTGTGGTTGAAAATTTGGAGCATAATTTGGCATCCTCTCGGATGTAGGAGCATAACTACACGATTATACCACAGTTCTAGTATGTAGGCTATACAATTGTGTATAATGCACCTGATCAATGCTGGTGGTCTGCATGGTGAAGGGTTCGGAGGTCATGCAGATAGTGTTTTCAATGAAAAGCAGGGTAGAAATCATGGCAATACAGTATTGTATGCTCGAACTCGTCTTCTTCAAAGTTCTTTCAAAGATACGAGGGAATTAGCCTTCATCAGGTATCCCGGAGCGGACGAGATAGTGGCGGGTAGGCCGCAAAACTCCGTGTACATGTACATTACACTTGTACATTATGCATGTTACGAAGTCATGACCTCGGGTAGTCTGGATTTTAGCAGCCATGATATGAGTGCAGGCTATGGATATTGCTCGAAATTGATGTATAGTTGACGTTCGGTCATGATGGAAGGAGAAGTGGAGCTACGAGAGAGGTGAGCTGATTATTCGCAGGGCCGGTGTGGGTGACATAGGTTGGACGAGTATGATGATTATGAAGACCGTGAGTTGAACATGATAATTTTCAAAGGTAACTCAAGCTAATTTGGCAATGAAATAATGTTTTTACTGAAGTACAAAAGAAATCAAGTGATGAATAGAAGAAGTAATGTTTTCTCTTTTCCATGTTGATCTCTAACATGCATGAACACCTTGCCTCTTGGTATAGGGATATTATTACTACCCAAAAATTACAAAACCCACCACCGAGAATCTCACACATCATCTTCACAATTTCAGCCCTTCCACCAGGCGAAGATTCTCGGCAGGGAGCCTTCTCTTCCATCACGCAAGTACCTTGAGGCAACAGAGATCAGAAATCGACGACCAAAGGTGAACAGCGACAAGGGTTGGCGCCTTTTGGCATGAATCAAACTTCCCAGCACATGGCTGATCTACAGACTGGGTATTCCAAACCTTGTTGTTATGACAACGAGTGCGGGATCTCAGATTCGACATCTCGAATGGATAACCACACCTGACTTGAGAGCTTGGGAAGATTAACACACTCCATACTTGACTCTTAACCCCCTCCCCTCTCACCACACAAACACACACATACACACACACACACACACACACATACACACACACACACACACACACACATCAACTCAACCATGGCTGTTTCACGGCCACTTTGCACTTGATGAAATGCTCACTTACATTGTTATGTCTTAGTGCTAGTTTATAACGTGTTTCAGATTACATGTAGCAGTGTGAAGTGTGTAGTGTGAATTATGTAGTGTGAAGTATGTAGTGTGAATTATGTAGTGTGAAGTATGTAGTGTGAAGTATGTAGTGTGAATTATGTAGTGTGAAGTATGTGACTGTTCCTGTACTGTCTTATAAAAGCCAACTTTCTATCATTCTTCTCCTATAATCCCTGATGATGCCCTCCTGGGTGAAAATTTGGACAATTTCAACTGTACGTGGTGTAGCCAAGGACTGTTAGTGTGTTGCGAATTGGGTATACCCAAAAATTCGCTGAAAAATCGAATTTGTAAATTCATATTGAGTGCTATGTCAGTTGAAAGAGCATGAATAGCTGAAATTCTCTGAAAATTGTGTCCCGATCTGACGGGCCGTTCAAGAGTTATGGCCGAAAATGTGCCCTTGCAAGAAAAGATATTTTTGTTGCACGCTGTCATTTAGTCCAAAAAAGTCCAAAAATCACGTTTTTTAGCCACGTATTGGGCTGCACGGCGGCGGGCAAAGCCCGCCGCCGTGCAGCAGGACTTTTGCCAGCACCCTCGTGACGTTGCAGATATGTGGCTTGATTATTGTACTACTTTGTAGTTGACGTTGATTTAGTGACTTTGGCAAGTTTGAGTCGTGTCAAGAAGTCAGGTAGGATTCAGTACTACTCAAGTTGTAGGCACTAGTGGAACGTGAGTGGTAGTCTTTGCCGGTTTCTGAGGGTACCCTGGATTTGGTATGCAGCGCTGTGGAAATGGCTTGCGGTGGAGGTCCGAGAACTGGATGTTGTATCAAAGGTACGACCTCGTAGCACGTGCTAAACCTAATAAAAATCAAAAATTGACTTAAAGGGGAAGTTAAGGCAAAAATTAAAATTTCACCAGTTGTAGTCTTCGGGGTGCTGAGTCGAATGGTCTTGGTCCGAGGAAGCTGAGACGCTCCCTTCCTACTTGAATCCCAATCGAACTCGCGCACTTCCACCGAAACTGGGTGACTGCGCCCTACTAGATGGGGATTTGTATGCAAAATGTCACTAAAAGCGCCATTTCGTTCTTATAAAAGCACGGATGACCGCGATTGGCCCATATGTTGTAGTCTTTTGGACGCTGAGTCGACTGGTTTTGGTCCGAAAAGGCTGCGATGCGGCGTTTCTCCTTTATTCCCAATCGAACATGGTTGAACAAGCGGTCACGTGCTCCTGCGTACACCAGTCACCTGGTCACCGTGCCTGCAGGGTACAACTTACTAGCCTGTTTGACCTTTTTTGGGTGCAGTCCTGTCACTCGAGTTGAACTCGAGTTGAACCTTGGTGTGAAAGTTGTCACCTGCTGGCGTGGTGACCAGGTGATTTGGGCACCCAGGACCACGTGACCGCTTCTTCAACCATGTTCGATTGGGAATAAAGGAGGAACGCTGCATCGCAGCCTTTTCGGACCAAAACCAGTCG